CGGCACCACGCGGGACGCACACGTGCGGATACGGCGGCCGCGCGGGGACATGGCGGGGAGCGCGAAGCAGCGGGTGCAGTGAGGGCAGCGCCCTGAGGGCAGCGGGGCGGGCTGAGGGCAGCGCCGGACAGCAAACCGAGCCCTTCCCGGATCTCCCTCCGAGTGGGAGAAGGGATGGCATGTACAGCCAGCTCTGCGCCGGGGTTCCCAGCCTGGAGAGCCCGCCCTGTTCCAGTGCTGGCGGTGACCAGAGTGGAGGTATTGCCACTTCCCGCACACGGGCTCTCCACACCCAGAAATTGTCATATTGTTAAATCGCAGAAAAGAGGGGGAAAAAAGGCAGAATAACATTCCGGCGGTACACGGTGGCTGTGGAAGTAAAGCAGCCCATTTTTCCTTATCCATGGGGAAGCAGGCACTGACAAAACTGAGGCGAGGACAAGGGAAGGGAATAGTTCACAGTGCACACAGGTCTTCAGTAAAAGTTCACGGTTCCCTTCCCAGAGGGATGTCACATTGGTCCCCTTTTCCACACGCCCTCTCTTTGTGCCAGTGTCAAGCATGGACACCTCTGACTCCACTTCCCCTCAGGTTTTCCTCCAGCTCAGGTAATCCTTGTGCTCATGTTTTGTGCAGTTAGTTTTATCGGCAGTGATGCGCTTCATGGGGAAGCTGAGCACAGCAGGAGCCCTCACCAGGCCACGGCATGTACCTTCCAAAAAGCCGAATGCACCTGGAATAATGTTTTGCTGCATTGTTCTGTAGGATGGAGCTACCCAGTGGAGACACGGGTTCTTTGGCAGGCTGTGAGATTATTGTAGGAGAGCTCCATTTATCCGTTCAGATGGAACATGGAAAGGCTGACACTTCCAAGTGGGCCAGATTATCACAGGCCTGTTATTTCAGCTAATAAGGGGAAGAAACGCAGCACGTCCTTTTTCAAACTGACGCTTCTGAGTTATTTCAGGAGTGGGATGGAGCAAAGGGAAGATTTATCACAGGGTCCCAGCTGCACTTTGCTTAGAGGAGTGATAAAAGATGGCCTGTCACAATGCAGTGCTGCTGCCAAGGGAAACAGGAACACAAATTTCTCTATCACTGCAACCAGGGTGTCTGAATCTTTTTTTGCCTCATTTCCTTAGGAAGTGGAGCTTATGCAATTGACTTGTCCGTCCACCGCATCCCTTCCTCCTCCTTCCCTGCCCTGATTTCTGAGTTTGGCTCATTTCTGTAAATGTGAGAGATGGAAGAAGGTGACATTCAATACAGAAAACAGTGATGGGATAGGAAAAAGACTTGCATGGATATCCCATGAGGGAAAAATCTTTTGTATCCCACCTCCTTACGCCTTCTAAGAGCAGCCACAAAGCTTGAAAACAGGTAGCACAAGCTGTGCTCTTAACCTGCCACAGCACGCACTACCTCTTCCTTTTTTTAACTTATCTATTTTATCCTGAACACCTATGTATAATTTATTTTATCTTGCTACCAAAATCAAGGACAAAACGAAGTGACTCGCTGTAGTTGCCACTGCTGCTGCGTTCTGGGGCATTGAGACCCTCAGCAGGTCTGGAGCTCTCTCGGCACTCAAATCAGCATCGTCAAAGCTCTCTAGGTACCAAACATCTGGCCTCACAGACAACTGACCTCTGTCGAACGGGCAGCTGCGGAACCGGGGTATGGCATGTTTTCTGAGGTAGTTTATTTAATTCTCGTAAGGATGTCAGTGCCGCTCCTCACCCCAGGCTGCGCGGGGTGCCCGGGCAGCGGCCGCCTGCAGATGGGGCTCTGGCAACGCGCACCGCCACCTCCCTGCCGTGTCCTGGGGACATGCACAGCCCTGGCCTCACAGCTGTCCCCTGCCAGGCACCTCTGGCATTCCTCCCAGCCCGGGGACACTGCGGGCTGTCCCCTCCGGCTGGCAGAGCAGGGCCCCTGGAACCACTGCAGCTGGCTGTCCCCTCCCTGTGCAGCCTTCTCCTGCTCTGCTGTGGCACTGTCACGCAAGCAACTTTCTCACCTTCCTCCCCAAGGCCTGCTTTGAAAAAGGAGGTATTTATTTTAGAAGTATTTCCATTCAATTCACAGAGAAATAAAATTTATTTTAAATCAGTAAGAAAGACTCCAAGAAAACATTGTGTTAAGAAAGACGATTTCTTCCAATTGTTTTCTGTTAAAGGGAAGGAAAAAACCTGCTAATCTGATTTTTAGTGAGTTTATGGGCTTTTGCTGTATAGCACTAGAAGTTTAGGAGATACCAAATGTTGTAGTTAAAAGCCATTTACATCCATGTTGGGAACTGGTGACATGCTGAACTCGAGGGACAATGAACACCTTATTTTGCTCCTCCCCAGCAGTTCTGTATTGTGCACTGGCTGGAAACATGAAGAAAAATTGTGCACGTTTGGGAACTCGGTTACCCTCTGTCCATGGTAAAGAGAAGCCTGTGTTTGACATATGCTTCAACTCCTCCTTAGAAATACGCTATTTAACATGCTTTCTAAAAGCACTCAAATCCCTTGCCAGGTTCCATCTCCCAGGAGGGGGGGTGGTTCTGACTCTATTGTCCCTAAAAACGCTGTTTTTAGAAAGAAATGTCCCAGGGAAGTTTGCATCCCTGCACTACGTGCCATTCCTCACGCAAGGAATGGCACCCATGCTTACTGCTACATTTATGGAAATAAATCTAAATAAATCCAACTGCTAGGATTTCTCTGGAGAGCATTAGCTCCTGCCCCGCAGAGCTATGCCAGGGTATTGTTTCCTTGCACACAACCCTTCCCCTCCCTGGAGTGTGAGGTGACCAGGCACAGTGGGCCACTGCAGAGAAGCCAAGACCAAATTAAACACCAGAGAGCTCAAACATGCTGTGAAGGGGTTAACTCCTCATGAAATAAAGCTTTAAAAGATCTGGAAAGTGGAATAATTGATCTTTGCATGGCTTTGGTGCAACACACACCCACCCGTTTCTGCTTCCTTGATGTCACTGTCACTTCTGATCTTTCAAAGTTGAATGAATGTGTTTTTGCTGACGTACTTACCAACAACTAAATATAAAATGCAGGAACAAAG